ATATTTTGAGAAGGAGAAAGAAAACGGTGGTCCATTGATACCCGTATCTGCTGTTCAAGAAGTAAGTGTGATTATATATACTTATATTTTCATTTAGTACAAACACAAAATTATAGCGAGTGGCCAACGCTTTGGGTATATCTGAGAGGACGGTGCGAAGCATCAAGACAAGAGCGGCATCTAACCCTGTTTTGGAAAGCCCGGGTAAGAAACGGCCCCGCAAGAGAGCCAAATCTGATGATTTACCAGAAACGTGTAAAATTGGTTAAAATAAATAAAAATAAAATTAAAATAAAATACGTTAAACAATAATGAATGCACAAAGTGAGTGCATCTGAATAGTATATGTCTTTTACATGTCTGACATACATTTTATTACAGAAAAACATGTCACAGTTGCATCTTCAAATGCTCAAATTCGTAACAGTCATATATTACTGAGTGATAGAAGTCTTCATCGTGCAATCTTGTCGCTAGAATTCAAGTTCAAAAAAGACTCTAATCGTAGAGCTTTATTGGATAAAAGCAACATAGCCGAAATTCGAATTAAATAAATCAAAATCGACTAACGATACTTTCTGCGATTTGACAGTTTTGCGCCTTCAAATAAACATCCAATGAATGACAGCTGTCGCCATCTCGGAGTATATTTTCTAATCAAGTTGGCATTATTACGGAAGTAATTTGACTCATATTTTTCATATTAAACCATACGATTGTGAACTATGACGTACGGGCAATCTCTAATGGCGAGGATAGTAGTTGAATTCCGTAGGTCTAATTTAATAAGCCTGAAACCACAAAACAATTTTTTGGACAGTAAAACTCCGTGGACTAAAATCAACGTGTTTTGTCATTTATTTAAGGGACAACTACGTTTCGGGCAACAATCTGCACCCTCGGGATTAAAACACACACTTTAGTCCCTCGGTATATAATATATCTACTATTAAAAATAGTGGCTGATTAGAAAAGAAATAATGCACATGTGCGGTATTAGGGGTTTATTCAAAACGAGATGATTGTAACGGGGTCTGTGACGTAATAAGACCGACCAATCAGCTGCTAGAACCATTCAGATGACATCACGACTGGGTAATATTGGAGGAGATTGTCATTATTGTAACTTGCGTCATCTGTCACAGGCCCTTGTCACTTGTTATTCACTTTCGCGGTAGATGTGCAGTTAAACATGAATCTTAAAACGTCAAATCCGACAAACGTCAGACCATCGCACAAGGTTGCCGGCTCTCTTCTACGTGATTGGTTGTAGGTTTGTGACGTAATTAGACTGAAGCGTTTAAAATTCGGACTAAAAACACAGTCTTTGAAAAATTTATTTTGGGTTTATTTTACTCGCAAATAAAAATTGAGGACACACGTCTTTTTATTTTTAATGTACTTTGTAGATCAGAAATGAAAAATGAAGCCGGGATGCCCCTATTATCCAACAGTTTTTGGAAAGAAAATTAGTTAAGCCTAAGGGGTAGGTTCATTTGATCTAAGTATATTATATTTATATTGTGTTTTGGTTGTAAAGTACGTAAGTGAGGGATGTAATGCAACGATATTATATCCACAAAATTGATGCTATTTTTTGTATTTAATCGCTCAGAAATCACTTCAAGGGTGGATTTGGGCGCTAGCAACGCGAAATCTAAACAGCTTAGTCCAAGGTTACCCAAATTCGTATGTCGAACCAGAAATCATATGTAATGTTAGTAGGTATTGCGGCACTTGACCGTGGGAAAATTTTGTGGAGCGTGGGAACTTTTTTTCCTTTGATGTATGCCGCCTTCGAGGGTGTGGCCCTAGACCGTGGGAACTTTTTCCTTTGATATATGCCGCCCATATGGGCGTGGTCCTAGAGCGTGGGAACTTTTTCCTTTGTGGTATTCCTGCTACGTGTGTGGCCCTAGACCGTGGGAACTTTTTCCTTTGTTATATGCCGGCTACCTGGGAGATCCTAGACCGTGGGAACTGTGTCCTTTGGTATATGTCACCTACCTGGGAAGTCCTCTACTTCTCTAACCTGGCCGTTTAAGGAGAGGTCCTAAGCTTCTACGTGGGTATCTGTCATGTGCGTCATACAATTGTTATGGCTTTATGAGAACTTGACGTTCACCTATACGGGCCCGCCGCCGGCGATTAACTGGGGAAGTGCGAGCGTATTTCGTACGAGTTAAGAGCCTCTAGTAGGGATGGGGCGTCAGACAGGCACTGCGCCTGGATTAATTCTGAAAAACTTTTTTCTTGTCCTGGGGTTCGAACCTGGGTTGTCCGATTAAGAAGCGAGCGTCCTGTACACTGGACCACCAGAACGTTTCATATATGTGTGTTAACTATATTTAAGACAAGAGCAACTCTTTGGTACATACCTATGTTGATTTATATGTACAAATGTAGTGTACGCGGTCATTTACGAAAACCTCAATAAGATAAAAGCTTTGCAGATTTATTATTATACTTTTGTTACAAAATTTGTTACATAGGTTGATTATACATTACATAGGTATTTTACAAAATATGAGCAGTGTAAAAATGATCATAAGTCGTTACTTATTCTGACATTATCTACCCTAAGTTTTTTAAATCCATACGGGTGTGAAGAACCGTCAGAAGCAAAGCGTCTTTTTGTGGAGTTGGGTCGGTACAGCTTTGTGGTGCTACTTGTGAATACATCGTGTTCTGTTGATCGTTTTATAAGAGAAGATGTGATCGGAATGGCTTCTTCTTCTTCAAGGACCATTTTCATTATTTTATCGAAATTTATTATTTGAGCAGTTTTATATGTTAACGATATTCCTTTAACTTTGCAAACAGTGACGTCACATCCCTTAGAGCTGGACCACGCTTTGTATGCGTAATTTTTAGGACCTCCTGATACAAATTCTTTGATGTAGCTTCCAATACCTTCGTCTTCTAATTCATTGGTTAACTCGCCCAAAAATTGACCTAGTGGTGGATCGTACAGTTCCGGAGCCGAAACGTAGATTATCGAATCTGTATCGTAGTAAAGAACCCTATCGTCCAACCGTTCCAAATATTCATATAACTTTAATCGCGCATGAGCAGTTGTGTAGGCGGCAAGAACAACATTCACCGTCGACAAAGGATTGTAAGCTTCTTCTTTATATTCCCAGTTAACAAGTAGCGTTTCTTCATTAATTGGCAAAACAGAATTTATATCAATTGAAGGATTTGTAATGATATTGTAGAATTCGCCAGACTGTCTGATAATGGTGGTTTTACTCTGATTCTCACGTTGTCCTAGTTTTCCCCAAAATGAAGTAATCACCGATTTTCCTAACTGTCGCAAACCAGGATTTTTTTCAATTTTGGTAGGATCAAGTAGAACACCTTCGGTTTCGTAATACTCTTTAACATACTTGTCTTTTCTTTCTGGAGTGTCACAATTAGATGGCCATCCGGAACTTTGTTGTTTAATACCCAAAAATTTATTTATATACCCATTAAACAACCCACCAGTTTTAGTGTTTCTGTTATACTGTTCGGTGTCGTATTTCCATATCTCATAAGTTACTAAGAGTTTGTATCCTTTTTCGATAGCTTTCTTAACTTCATCTATCACCCAAGTTCCTGTTAACGCGCGCTCATCGTCGTTATGTTTACAAGACCCTTGGTTGAAACTCTCACCGCATGAACGACAAAGAACAAACATTAATTTTTTATTCATTTTTACAGGCAGCACCGGATGGAATAATGACTGTGGTGGTAACACTTTGCATTTAATTAATCCATCTATCGTTTCAAGATTTAATTTACCACAGTCCCCTCCAATATATACTGTGGGGTGTCCTATAGGGTAACTACAGTATTTATTAACATAGGGGTAGAGGGAGGTAAAATCGACGTATTTTATTTGTTCATCTTGCTTTGCTTTGTAAAACGATTTCACGTTCCCTGTTCGCCCTCCATAAAATGCATCTCTTGGGTTGAGTGGTGAATAGGACATTATAGGGTGTGTTTCCGTATAATTATACTGTTCCTTTGTCATCAACCGTCGAAAATCACACTCCCACATCTCGATAACCGAGTAGTCCAATTCTTTTAATCTATTTGATTTTGCTAGTGTGGCTTCATAACGGTACTCAAGCGTCTCCGCTGTATTATCCGATAGAGGTACGTTTCTTGCATGTTTGAAGCACTTAGGACAGCCATGATAGTAACATCCGTAGAACTCGTATACTTCATTGGTTTCGACACAAAAACCATCAACTTTTACACCTGCAACTCTGGCTTCTTTCTGCTTAGCGGAATGTACTATATCAACTTGGCGTTTGCACTCTTCTATTAGTAACCACCGTGTAGCAATTTTCGATTGGTTGTCACAATGTCTGTAACCACCCTTTGGTATTAATCCTATGGTGTTTGGTGTCATAAACCCGCGACGGAATATTTTATTACACGCCCCCGGTAGTGTGACACTTTCTGTAAAGGGACAAACATTTCCCTCCTTTATCATCAATTGTCTAAATTTGAGGCACGACTGTGCTAATATATCTACATCGGATACACAATATTCTATAAGTTCTTCTTTAAAGTTAAACACGTAATTTTCAGCTATCTTTCCCGCATGCCATTCCATCAATTCTTGTCTCTCGTTGCACCTGAGGTTATCTGGGTCGAAGGTTTCTATGGGTGGAATTGGGCCTATATAATTTTGGTTTTCTGTTATGTTGAACAAATGTGGAAAGTAGCCTTTCTTTAGCTCTTTTAAACCGAAAACTTTAGGTAATTTACTCAGTGCCATTTGAAAGTAGTTTAAGGAATCAAGAAATTTAATATTCTCTAACATCATAGAAATCAATTTAGTTCCTCTCATTATCAAGTCTGGTTTTAGGTCGGTTTGTGTTAGAACGTAGTTTAAAATGAACTGATGATCGAAACCGCCACCATTGTGAGCAACGACGATAATGTTTTTGAATTTTTTTCTCATGTTTAAGATGTGTACCATAAATGTCGGTATTACATCAGCGGTCAATATTTTTTGCCGAAAACCGCACTTTTGACAAAAATATAGTTTCTTTTCGTTTATACACTTGTCACAGCACTGTACGAACACACACAGATTAGGTTGATGTAAAAGAGAGCCATTTGACAATTTTTGCTCTTGCATAGTTTCTAAATCGTAAAACACAAAAAGCGTATTCTCTATTTTCGGGGTACCTCTATCTATAGGCATATAACAGAGGTGATCCCTTTCTACATGGCAGTTACACGTCTTACAAAACACCTCTCCACAGATATGGTTCCTGGTGTTGCGGTATATAGCAAAACAGTTTTCACAACGACTAATTTGGGAGCATATATTATGTACTTTGTGATTTTCAAAACACGTTTTTCCCCGAAACACTCTTTTACATTTTTCGCAATTAATTTTGATATCTCCATCTGGTGAACATGCTGGTGTTTGTTGACACGCAGCACACGTAACCTCACATCGGTGGTTGTTTTTGTGATCGAACGGTGTATGACAGGGTTCGCAATAATAGCTGCACGCGAAAGCAGCCGTTAATGAAGTAATCACGTTGAAATGATTGTCGTCGTAAAGCAGATTTATTTTTTTATTCATTTCGGGACCTTCAAACACCACTTCCCTGCCTTTGGTATTGTGTTGATACACTGTAATCTTATAATCAACCAAATATTGCTGAAATCCTCGTAGTTCTTCTATACTACAACCGCCTGATGGTATTATTACATTTGCTTCTTGAACCAGCTGTTGAGCTCTAGCCTTTTGCACAGTAGCTCTATCGCGAATGCGATTATAATCAGAGTCTTTATCCGCGTGTGCTTTTCCAACGATCAAGGCGCGGGGTAGGCAGAGATTATCTTTGTTTTTTATAACCACAATACCGCGGCGTCTACTACACTCCTCCGTATAGCTGTTGTACGTTCGAGGTCTACCGTTTCCAGAGGGTAAACGCACAGATGTTACTCGAAGACAAAACGTTTCAGTATTTAATCCGCTAGAGTTGGACTGATAAATTGAGGATATCATCTTCCAAATGTCACCAACAGAAAGCTCGCCAGCAGTTCGAAATTGCAACCATCCTTCGCCATTCTTAAAATCTTTAGAACAAAAGGAAAAACCCACCATATCATGTGGAGACAATCCTTCTACACCTTTATGAACAATTTGTGTGATTGCTTCTTTTGTCCAGTGTATGGGGTTGGCATCTTTAGGTATGGGCTTTAACTTAAATTCCAAAGTACGGCCGCTTAAATTGAAACGTCGTACCTTTCGGGTATTGTCTTTCAAAATAAGAAATTTTTCCATGTTAAATGTTGAAAGTTATTAACCAAGAACTCGTTACAGTTTATTGAACGAAGCACCGTTATGTACTGACTGGACCACCAAATTTCAGTTAGGTATATCAATTCTACACGGACCGTCGACTGAATGATAGCAGCATAGATATTTGTGTTAATGGTCTGTAATAAATTACTAAATTATTATTGTATTCGCAACTATGACGATTGAATTGACAAAAGTAGCATAGAAGTATTTGTTTTAGAAAAATTTCGAAAACTAGAGTAGGTACTTTTTCATAGCAGACTAAAATTATACTCCATGACACGTCTTGGTTTGCATCGCGGTATACGAGTGCATAGGACATCTTACCCATATAGATTATATGGCATATGAGGAGACATTCTTTTAAGAATAACACGGGAGTTTGACAACAATTGCTTCTCTACTTTCCAATACTCAGTAGTCAGTACTACGATCAAAACACCACTAGCGACGTTAATAGCATCACTAAGAGTTTTATTTGCAATCGGTAGCAATATCAAAAACAGACAACGTATTACGAGGATCAAGAAGAAAAGAAAAAAAAAACAATATTGATTTAGGTGTGAGAGGGGGGAAGATACGATAGCACAGCCAACGAGACTACGACAGCTCAAGCTTTAAGCGACTGGTTAGTGAAACTGTTATATATATATATATAGATAGACTGTAAAACCACACAGGATTAATACGTGCATGCGAGGTACCATTTATGTTGTTATCAAAGGTATAGTATTGTGACCGATTGACACCCACGCGCATGCAGCGGGGAGCTTTTTATCATCACTGAAAATCACAGCCCGGCGTGTTAGGGGGGTCTAACCGATATTTCAGAGAGATATATTTCTCCGGGACGCACGCATCAATGGTGATGTGCTTAAGAGCGGTCTGTATGAAAGACTGTACGGTTTGTTAAATATGTAGTGTTCTGATCGAATGATATTCGCGATGAGCCAGCAATTAGCGGACTTCTGCCATCTTCAAAAATCACAACCAGCGTTTCAGGCTGGAAAATTTTACCATGATCCTCTCCGGCATACAATCCTCCTCCACGTATGAAGGGATGCTGGGCGTACAATATATCATTCGTAATGTTATTTGCGTGTGTGCGTGTCGAATGCGTATTATAATAGGAAGTGACGGTGGCAGGACACATGCTTGCACTTACCAAGATACTTACCTCTCTGTTTGTGGCCGAATGTATTAAGCAACGAGAGGTACCTGCAATTTAAGATTTTTTTGTTAAATGAGGTTGACTTGATAATTTTTTTTTTCTTATTTTATTGTAAGTATGAAAAATGGAACTTTTTATTAGAAATAATTGAAGATACAATACGAGATTTGAACCTGGGTTAGATTTAGATTTGCTTTTATTCCAAATGCCTAAGTATCAAACTTCATTTAAACGTTTTCACAAAAAATTTTGTAATTCGGTTCGTAAATGGTCGAGATGCGAAAAGGGAACTATGAATGTTGAATCCGATTAGGCTCAACTTTCGGCGTATTATATGGTTAAAGCTATGTCCATATTGAATTTCACGCAATTCGGTTCATAACTAAAGGAGATGTCAAAAGGGCCTTCCTTATTTTTATTTACATTGCCAAATCACGAACCTGATATAAATTTGATAAAGAACCCACCTATTCGTTTTCGAGATATCGTGCTAACGGACGGGCAGACACTGCAAAATGATTAAATCGCTAGGACCTCGTTAATAATTGGGTAGGTACAATATGCTTATACATTGTTTACGCGAAAGTTGAATTACGACATAGAAATTAATATTTCGTGGAGACTTTAATAACGCTCGAGGGAGTGTTTCATCTAGGGGAGTACAAGAGGTGTTGCTCAAGAGCCCTAAACATAATTTTTCACAGTCATTTTCATTATTTAGGAGTAACTGACTAACCCGATTAACAAAATTTGCCCACTAGAGATCCAACGCCCGTTTTTCTAACGAAAAATAGAGAGCTAAAAAGTATGCTATTAATTACTAATCGAGGAAAGAATATTCAATTAAACCGGCCCAGTAAGTTTAAAATGCACGAAAACACAAATTTTCTGCTAGGGAAATAGGATTTAGAATAAAAGGCGTATCCGTTGTTAATAAGGAGTTTAAAGACATTCAATGATTAGATCGATAATATCTGTTGCGATTCATAAAATGGTTATATTAAAAACGAAAAGTTGAACAAATGGATACAGGTTTTAAAATAATTGGTTAGGCATAATATGCCATAAAAGCGTCTACGCGAAACTTTTAATTACGCCAGAAAAATTAGTATTCAGGATAAAAGGAATGTTACATATTTTTAAATCAATAATTGGAAAATTATTCTTAACGCACATCTCTTATCGGGGCCTATTTTAACTTTTTAAGAATCCTCTATAAATGGTAACAGCGATATTATTTATTTTAAATGAATGAAATACACCATGTAAGGGTATAAAATGGTCAATTTATCTCATAGATTTCATATTTAAAAAATGTGGGGTTACCTAGATAAAAATTGTCATTTACGACCTTACCTAATACTTCGACCTAAATTATTGTGCAGTTGTGTTCCGTAGATCCGCCTTCAACACTGTCCTCGGGAAAACTGGTTAAATATGTAAACTCTCTTGGTATAAAAGCGCTTCTGTAATTTTATGTTTAAATGTACATTCAGTTACAAGATCTTCTATCTTGCTTTTTCATATCGGCGTCAAAGGGGAATAAGAAGAAGAAGTGGAATTGCTTTGTGTATAAAGGAGGGATGGAGACGACGCAATGAATACAATAATTGAGCTGAACTTGCGTTTCTTCACATATAAAGTATATTAGACGGAGTACGCATTCGGAGGGAAGGAGACGGAGTTTAACGCGTGACCTCCTTAACTTTATTATAAATTTACACTTGCAAATTCCGAAGAGTTTATCGAAGGTAATAGAACCTTTAAAAAGGAGATTCCAATGAATGTTACAAAGTTACCCGACCAGCAAAATTTACTAAAAATGGGAGACCAAAAATCAATATTTGATCAAGACGAACAGAAAAGAGAACTGTATTTTCATCGTGTTGAACAGAATAGAAATCAGGATGAACAGGAACCTGATAAACAGTTCTGCTGAAGATCTCGACTTCATTGAACAAACTGGCGATTTGCAGTTTGCACACAACTTTCCGTGTATAAGGAATAAAGCGAGGATGTGTGAAATTTCGCGCGTTAAGTATGTTTCAGAGCATATCGTGTACTTTCCGTAACGAGTGAGTGAGAGACAGAGAAAGCATTCGGAAGGAAAGAGGTGGCTTCCACAGCGCTCAAATTAGAAAAACACATTTTATATCAGGGCCCGTTTATCTGAAACAGCCTGTTCATGTGTGTTGTTTAGTGAGGTCAATACAAAAGGCCCGTTATAGGTTAGGTTGGAATGGGCGCGCCCATTCCAACCTAACCTATGCATACGGGCCTTTTGTATTGACCTCACTAAACAACACACATGGACAGGCTGTTTCAGATAAACGGGCCCTGATATAAAATGTGTTTTTCTAATTCGAGCGCTGGGGAAGCCATCTCTTTCCTTCCGAATGCTTTCTCTGTCTCTCACTCACTCGTTACGGAAAGTACACGATATGCTCTGAAACATACTTAACGCGCGAAATTTCACACATCCTCGCTTTATTCCTTATACGCGGAAAGTTGTGTGCAAACTGCAAATCGCCAGTTTGTTCAATGAAGTCGAGATCTTCAGCAGAACTGTTTATCAGGTTCCTGTTCATCCTGATTTCTATTCTGTTCAACACGATGAAAATACAGTTCTCTTTTCTGTTCGTCTTGATCAAATATTGATATTTGGTCTCCCATTTTTAGTAAATTTTGCTGGTCGGGTAACTTTGTAACATTCATTGGAATCTCCTTTTTAAAGGTTCTATTACCTTCGATAAACTCTTCGGAATTTGCAAGTGTAAATTTATAATAAAGTTAAGGAGGTCACGCGTTAAACTCCGTCTCCTTCCCTCCGAATGCGTACTCCGTCTAATATACTTTATATGTGAAGAAACGCAAGTTCAGCTCAATTATTGTATTCATTGCGTCGTCTCCATCCCTCCTTTATACACAAAGCAATTCCACTTCTTCTTCTTATTCCCCTTTGACGCCGATATGAAAAAGCAAGATAGAAGATCTTGTAACTGAATGTACATTTAAACATAAAATTACAGAAGCGCTTTTATACCAAGAGAGTTTACATATTTAACCAGTTTTCCCGAGGACAGTGTTGAAGGCGGATCTACGGAACACAACTGCACAATAATTTAGGTCGAAGTATTAGGTAAGGTCGTAAATGACAATTTTTATCTAGGTAACCCCACATTTTTTAAATATGAAATCTATGAGATAAATTGACCATTTTATACCCTTACATGGTGTATTTCATTCATTTAAAATAAATAATATCGCTGTTACCATTTATAGAGGATTCTTAAAAAGTTAAAATAGGCCCCGATAAGAGATGTGCGTTAAGAATAATTTTCCAATTATTGATTTAAAAATATGTAACATTCCTTTTATCCTGAATACTAATTTTTCTGGCGTAATTAAAAGTTTCGCGTAGACGCTTTTATGGCATATTATGCCTAACCAATTATTTTAAAACCTGTATCCATTTGTTCAACTTTTCGTTTTTAATATAACCATTTTATGAATCGCAACAGATATTATCGATCTAATCATTGAATGTCTTTAAACTCCTTATTAACAACGGATACGCCTTTTATTCTAAATCCTATTTCCCTAGCAGAAAATTTGTGTTTTCGTGCATTTTAAACTTACTGGGCCGGTTTAATTGAATATTCTTTCCTCGATTAGTAATTAATAGCATACTTTGTACTTTGTAGCTCTCTATTTTTCGTTAGAAAAACGGGCGTTGGATCTCTAGTGATGAGCAAATTTTGTTAATCGGGTTAGTCAGTTACTCCTAAATAATGAAAATGACTGTGAAAACTTATGTTTAGGACTCTTGAGCAATACCTCTTGTACTCCCCTAGATGAAACACTCCCTCGCGCGTTATTAAAGTCTCCACGAAATATTAATTTCTATGTCGTAATTCAAGTTTCGCGTAAACAATGCATAAGCATATTGTACCTACCCAATTATTAACGAGGTCCTAGCGGTTTAATCATTTTGCTGTGTCTGCCCGTCCGTTAGCACGATATCTCGAAAACGAATAGGTGGGTTCTTTATCAAATTTATATCAGGTTCGTAATTTGGCAATGTAAATAAAAATAAGGAAGGCCCTTTTGACATCTCCTTTAGTTATGAACCGAATTGCGTGAAATTCAATATGGACATAGCTTTAACCATATAATACGCCGAAAGTTAAGTCTAATCGGATTCAACATTCATAGTTCCCTTTTGGCATCTCGACCATTTACGAACCGAATTACAAAATTTTTTGTGAAAACGTTTAAATGAAGTTTGATACTTAGGCATTTGGAATAAAAGCAAATCTAAATCTAACCCAGGTTCAAATCTCGTATTGTATCTTCAATTATTTCTAATAAAAAGTTCCATTTTTCATACTTACAATAAAATAAGAAAAAAAAAAATTATCAAGTCAACCTCATTTAACAAAAAATCTTAAATTGCAGGTACCTCTCGTTGCTTAATACATTCGGCCACAAACAGAGAGGTAAGTATCTTGGTAAGTGCAAGCATGTGTCCTGCCACCGTCACTTCCTATTATAATACGCATTCGACACGCACACACGCAAATAACATTACGAATGATATATTGTACGCCCAGCATCCCTTCATACGTGGAGGAGGATTGTATGCCGGAGAGGATCATGGTAAAATTTTCCAGCCTGAAACGCTGGTTGTGATTTTTGAAGATGGCAGAAGTCCGCTAATTGCTGGCTCATCGCGAATATCATTCGATCAGAACACTACATATTTAACAAACCGTACAGTCTTTCATACAGACCGCTCTTAAGCACATCACCATTGATGCGTGCGTCCCGGAGAAATATATCTCTCTGAAATATCGGTTAGACCCCCCTAACACGCCGGGCTGTGATTTTCAGTGATGATAAAAAGCTCCCCGCTGCATGCGCGTGGGTGTCAATCGGTCACAATACTATACCTTTGATAACAACATAAATGGTACCTCGCATGCACGTATTAATCCTGTGTGGTTTTACAGTCTATCTATATATATATATATAACAGTTTCACTAACCAGTCGCTTAAAGCTTGAGCTGTCGTAGTCTCGTTGGCTGTGCTATCGTATCTTCCCCCCTCTCACACCTAAATCAATATTGTTTTTTTTTTCTTTTCTTCTTGATCCTCGTAATACGTTGTCTGTTTTTGATATTGCTACCGATTGCAAATAAAACTCTTAGTGATGCTATTAACGTCGCTAGTGGTGTTTTGATCGTAGTACTGACTACTGAGTATTGGAAAGTAGAGAAGCAATTGTTGTCAAACTCCCGTGTTATTCTTAAAAGAATGTCTCCTCATATGCCATATAATCTATATGGGTAAGATGTCCTATGCACTCGTATACCGCGATGCAAACCAAGACGTGTCATGGAGTATAATTTTAGTCTGCTATGAAAAAGTACCTACTCTAGTTTTCGAAATTTTTCTAAAACAAATACTTCTATGCTACTTTTGTCAATTCAATCGTCATAGTTGCGAATACAATAATAATTTAGTAATTTATTACAGACCATTAACACAAATATCTATGCTGCTATCATTCAGTCGACGGTCCGTGTAGAATTGATATACCTAACTGAAATTTGGTGGTCCAGTCAGTACATAACGGTGCTTCGTTCAATAAACTGTAACGAGTTCTTGGTTAATAACTTTCAACATTTAACATGGAAAAATTTCTTATTTTGAAAGACAATACCCGAAAGGTACGACGTTTCAATTTAAGCGGCCGTACTTTGGAATTTAAGTTAAAGCCCATACCTAAAGATGCCAACCCCATACACTGGACAAAAGAAGCAATCACACAAATTGTTCATAAAGGTGTAGAAGGATTGTCTCCACATGATATGGTGGGTTTTTCCTTTTGTTCTAAAGATTTTAAGAATGGCGAAGGATGGTTGCAATTTCGAACTGCTGGCGAGCTTTCTGTTGGTGACATTTGGAAGATGATATCCTCAATTTATCAGTCCAACTCTAGCGGATTAAATACTGAAACGTTTTGTCTTCGAGTAACATCTGTGCGTTTACCCTCTGGAAACGGTAGACCTCGAACGTACAACAGCTATACGGAGGAGTGTAGTAGACGCCGCGGTATTGTGGTTATAAAAAACAAAGATAATCTCTGCCTACCCCGCGCCTTGATCGTTGGAAAAGCACACGCGGATAAAGACTCTGATTATAATCGCATTCGCGATAGAGCTACTGTGCAAAAGGCTAGAGCTCAACAGCTGGTTCAAGAAGCAAATGTAATAATACCATCAGGCGGTTGTAGTATAGAAGAACTACGAGGATTTCAGCAATATTTGGTTGATTATAAGATTACAGTGTATCAACACAATACCAAAGGCAGGGAAGTGGTGTTTGAAGGTCCCGAAATGAATAAAAAAATAAATCTGCTTTACGACGACAATCATTTCAACGTGATTACTTCATTAACGGCTGCTTTCGCGTGCAGCTATTATTGCGAACCCTGTCATACACCGTTCGATCACAAAAACAACCACCGATGTGAGGTTACGTGTGCTGCGTGTCAACAAACACCAGCATGTTC